TTGAACAAACTTAACTGTTTTATTAGGGTAAGATTTAATTAAAAATATTTTATATTTTTAAATGGAGGGAGTAACTTTCTAATTGTCATTCTTTGCAATTAATAATAACCATAACAGATTATTGTCTGGGAATTTAAAGTATCATAAATAAATAAATAAATAAGAGGTAAAATTTAAAAAAAGAATTTTATTACTTTAACTTTGCCCTATATGAAGAATAAAGAACTTTTAAAGATTTCCTTACATCAATAACAAGAAAAAAATAACAAATAATCGTATAAAAAATAAAATAATACTACTTGAGAGCTTTTATTGCATTAAAAAAACATGCAAGATTAATGTGTGAGAGGTTGTAATCTCATTTCCACACAAGCATGAGACATTATATGTGCCACACCCATTGTCCAACTCATAATAATACACATCCATCCCTTCTTCACCATCCAATTTTGAGATGATGAGCAAACCTTTTTTATATCAAGCCTAATTGGCAAGAACTTTAACGGCTAGTCTTTAAAATGAATTATCTATATAAGTTTCAAAAAATGTGCAACATTTCATAGAGCCAAAGTTATTCAAAAACCATGGCTTCTAGCTTCTTTTGTGCCACTTGCTGGTTCATGATGCTAAGAAGAGGACCAAGATGTGATGACTACAATAGAAGTTTTGATCTTTTTGATATCTGGTTCTCTGTGACAATACTGCTCAAATCTTATAGTTCTAAACTTTTTCTTCATTTGGATTCTGGCACCCTCCTTTTCATTTAGATTAGATTAGTTTTCTAATTTTTTTAAGACATAGTAAGTATTTTTCTTATAAAGGGTGACACAATTTACAAATCTTTAGAAATATTTCATACAAATTTACAAGCCAACTTTTAAAATTTACAAATCTTTCAAAAATTTATAACTAAACTATTGTGTTAAATATTAAATATCAATGTATTAATATTTTAATAAGACATTATTAAAAATATACTTTTAATCATGGTTTTGTTGCCGATCTAATATTCACCTGACAAAAGATTAGAGTTATTGATTAAAATAGTATTTTAATTGGTCCTTTGCATAGTAAAAATACATGGCACAAGCGAACCAATTCTATTCTATTAGATTATTAACTTTATTACTGATACTTTTTTAAGGCACTCTAAAAGGAAATTGGAAGCATATAAATCTTTAGAGATGAATTTCTTGTATTTATATACAAACAATTCTGTTTAAAATACTACAAGTGGTGTTCTAAATAGTTCACAAGTAATTCTTTAAATCAATAACAATTGGTATTATAATTTTTTTTACCTTTATCTTCCAATTTTCTTAATCTAATTTTATGCAATTTCATAGAAATTTGAATTTAGAATTAATTTGAATTTAATAATATAAATATACACTTCATATAAATTTTATGCTTTTCAAAATTTATCATGGCCACACCTTTATAAAATATCATTTACTTAATAAATTTATATATAATATAAATATTCTTACAATGATAGATGATATTTTCGTATTTATTTTGAATATTTTAATTTAACATCTTAAATGTCATTAATGTAAATTGAATTATATATCTTAAAAATACTAATATTAAAATGTTCATTCATATTTTGAGTTTGTATATTCATTCATCTGTTTCATTTGTATTCCAGTTAAATGACATTTTAAACTTTAAAAGGGCTATTTGAATCATAAATTTATTTTTGGCATATTTTAAGGCTTAAATAATTGCACATGTATCAATTTTAATCTTACAATCATATAATGAACATTTTGCTAGCAAAGAACTCTCGGATTAGGGGTAGAGCCAATAATTTTTATTGGGGGCTAAGATGATAAAATATATGTGATAATTAAAAAAATTTATATATATAATGACATAATATAAATATTTCAACATATATATATTTATATTTAATTTTACAAATACATAACAAAAAATAAAGGGATAATGATAATAAAATCTCTATGAAATATAGAAATGATAATTTAATATCTCAAAATATCATAATTCCATTAAAGTCTTTAGGAGCTTTTCTATCATTAGTTAATTTATGTAAATGATCAAATTGCCTTTGTTGAAAATAAAAAAATTCACAAGCTTTGTTTAAATAATCACAATTTTTTTTATATTCGCAATAATGCAACAATAAATCATAACTTCACATGTTAAATTTCTTATTTGCTATCACATTGTTGTGAATATAAGAAGAAAAGTTGTGATTATTTAATCAAAACTTGTGAATCGTTTTATTTTCAATAAGGGCAATTTGATCATTTATATAAATTCATTAGTGACAGAAAAGTTTCTAAAAATTTCAGTGAAATTATGACATTTCAAGAAATTAAATTGTCATTTATATATTTCAAAGGAATTTTATTGTCATTTTTCCAAAAATATATACTCCCTCCATTAAAAAATATAAGACATTTTTAATCGAATCTCATCTCAATAAAGTAGTCACTTGTCTTTAAATTAATCATATCTTTTCATATTTATCCCTAGGGTGTTTTACCTTAAAATAAATATAAAATAATTTATTCAACATGAGCATTTTTTTAAAAAGTAATGATTATACTTAAAAGATCAAAAATATCTTATATCTTTTTAATATCTAACCTCTCAAAAAATACTTTATATTTTTTTAACAAATAGAGAGAGAGTGTGTGTTGTATATATATTAAGTTTTGCTCATCAATATAAAAATCATTAGTTATTATATCTACAACAAATTTAACAATTTTATTCTCAATATAAATTATCATCAAACTAGTGAAAATTTTATCATCCTATCAACAATGATTTACATATTGGAATCTAAAATTTTATAGCCCTTGTGAGTCCCCTGCCTCCACCCTTGCCCCGGATCCCTGGCTCTCCATCATCCTGTAGTTATATAATGTGAGAGAATCTGTGAGAGAATCTAAAAACAAAGTATTAGGGTTGAAAACAGCGATGGAACAGGGGAAGAATTCTAGAATGGGACAGGGGAAGCCAGAAGACGAGAGAGGGATCGTAATGAAGAAGCTATCGGTGAGATCAAAACTTGGGGAAGAAGTAGTTCTTATGCTCTCGACCTTCGAACGATTACCTTTTTTTCACCTTCTTGCTTCACTGTAAAGTGTAAACTGATTGATCCAACTCAATTTCGCGATTCTTTTCTTTTTTTTTTCGGCCCTGCAGCTACGCATGTTGACACTGGTGTAAGAAGAGGAGGATTCTGGAGATGTTGAGCCAGACAAGAGAAATGGGTACGGAGCAGAGTACAAGAGGAATGGGTTCTTGATTGAGAAAATAATCTGGAGTTTTGTGTCAAAATAAAATCAGAGAGTAAATAAAGCAATAGCATCTGCAAAGAGGCTTGCATCTTCGACTGTAAACATATTAAATAATAGGAAGCATCGAAGATGATGTAGGTGCCTGGGAGAAGGATCATACATGGAGAAGGAAGGAGTTAAAGGAGAAGACTAGAGAAGAAGACTACGAGGACACTAAACCCATTTGACTGAAATGTTGGCTTGCACACTTGGCATGCCACCTTATATTTTCTGTTGTTTTTGTTTTTGTTTTTTTGGTTTTGGGCCCTTCAAATGTTCTCTCGAGGGGCTTGAAGTGTGTGTAATGGTTTTGTAGTTTAATAATATGTACTTATTCCAAAAAAAAAAAAAAATTTCATTCATGTTTTGAACTTCTCAATCAGCAACATGTGGTGTGATTTTTGTTGCCAGTCACTTGTTTAATCCAAGTTCTCAAATTCAGGTCTTAAGTAAATTCTTTTCCTTCTCGATGAAGGCATTTCCTAAAGTCAAACTTCGCAGGAAATATATGAATGTGTTACCTGTCAAGATACGTGTGATGATTATTTGATGAGATGAAGTGATTATTTTCTTCAACGGTAAATGCTATTTACTTTTTGTAGGTTACCAGAACGTAATTAATTTCATCAAAGAAAAAATAACATTTGATTATAGTTTTGAGTTAATTCTTAAATTTTGATTCATTATAACTCTGCCTTTAAAGTTTGGATTCGGTTGTAACTCAATTTTTAAATTTTAATTCTTACAACTCAGTCTTTATATTTTTAATCATTTAAATATTGGTTCATATATTTTAAAAAATAAAATTATGTTAAAATTTATTATTAATATTTTAAATTACTAAACTTTTTTAATCCTTATAAATATTACAAATATTAAAAGTTTAAAATATTTTTAATTTTTATAATTTTGTTTTTTAAAATATGTGGATTAATATTTAAATGGTTAAAACTATAGGGATTAAATTGTAAAAAATAAATTTTAAAAATTAAATTATAATTGAGTTAAAACTATAAAAATTGAGTTATAATGAGTCAAAATTTAAAAATTAAATTATAATTAAGTTAAAATTATATGAATCAAATGATTAATTTTTTTTCATTAAATAGATTTCTTTTATGAACAGGACATACATAAAGCCTTTTTAGAGACATTTTCATTTAAATAGAGCCCTTTAGAGGCCATTAATACAAATATTAAACACGTTAATCATATTGTATTTAACATAATTTATTGATGTCTCATTATTTTCTCTTGACATTTTCAAAGATAGAGTGACTAAACTCTAAAGTCACACTTAAACATGAGATACTCCTTATAGAACAGGGAAGGAATGATTTTTTTATTTTATTTATGAGTTATGTCATTAAATTTTTATTATAAATTTTTTATTTTACCTTTTATTAAATGTTGAAGAAAAAAAATATGTTATTATAATGTATATATTTAATAATAGTAAATTTGAGAACTTATTAAAATTTAATATAGAGTTAATGAGTTTTTAATTTTTTTATATTAATAAAATATGTTAAAAGTGATTTATAAATAGGATTATAGGAGTAAAATAGAGAGATAAAAAATAATAAAAAAATTAATTAACAATTTACATCAAAATACGTTAAAAATTATATAAGAATTAACAACAGTACTTTATTGTGCTATTACTATTTCCCTTCTGTTTGATCTCCTTCGAAAAGTCGGAGCTCCTTCTCCGTCAGTTCGAACCAGCTGCTCCTCCTTCTCCTTGCTTGCCGTATAAGGTCTGTCGCCTTCTCTGTCATTCGCTTCTGCAACTTCGTCTCCTTCGATCTTGTCCGCCGCCGCGCTCATCCAACTTCGCCATCGTCCTCGTGGATTGCTCGTCCTTGAGACTTTCCGGCTTCCGCTGTTCCTCTCTTGCTGAGGGAAAGCCAACAATTTTTTTCCGGGTAAACCGTGTTTTGCTTTTTTAAACTCTGTTTTGGGAACCTTCAACGCAGAACTAACCAGAGCCCACAAAAAAAAGTCAATCCGTGGTTTGATTTCTCACTCGCCAGTCGCCACCAAACCGTGTCTACATTTCTATCTAAAGCGTTGCTCATCTCCTCTGCCACTCAATCTCCCTTGGTGTAGCTTCAACTCGCCGGAGAGTCCTTCACATAATAGAGACTCTTGAATTTTAATGGCAATTGGGATAATCATTTTGTCGCTGTTCACTGCTGTCTTAGCCTTAATTCTGCGATTCACTTTGCTTGTAATCAATGGTAGAAGGAATAGAAGTAAAGCCGTTGGCTTCTTCCACCCTTATACTAATGACGGCGGCGGTGGAGAAAGGGTGCTCTGGTGTGCCGTCAAAGCCTTGCAAGAAGAAAGTCCTGATCTAGATTGCATCATCTACACCGGAGATCACGATGCCACGCCTCAGAGCTTGATTGGTCGTGCCCTTGATTGCTTTGGGGTCAAGCTTCTCTTTCCTCCAAAGGTTAGTTTTCCATGTCTTTGGGTCGTTTTGTTGCGTTCTCTAATTCACTTGGGGAACATCCGCTCATGCATTTTAAATTTCCTCCATGCTTTATTTGCTTTACACGGTAGAATAGTGGGAAGAAGATTTATGCTTTTCATTGTGCGGTAATAAGAGGAAGTAATTCAGGTTTAGGGAGACTCTGAATTTTGTCTATTAAGTCATGTACTACTTCCAGTTAAAACATTCGTTGTCTTTGGCCTTTTAGATCAAAGAAGGATTTCGTTTGAAGTAATTGAAGTCATCATTCTATGAAATTTACCCCTGTGACAAGATACATATGATTATATGATGACGTGAAGAGATTAATTTTTTTTTTCCAATGGTAACGTCTATTTGCTTTTGGTTTGCATGGTACCAGAGCCTAATTAGTTTCGTTAAATAGTCCCCTTTATCTTTTTATCCTCATTTCTTAGGTGGTGTATTTGAACAAGAGGAAGTGGATTGAAGAAACCACTTACCCGCGATTTACAATGATTGGCCAAAGTCTGGGTTCCATTTATCTCGCTTGGGAAGCTTTGTGCAATTTTACGCCATCATATTATTTTGACACAAGTGGATATGCTTTTACATATCCACTTGCTCGGATGTTTGGGTGCAAAGTTATCTGCTATACACATTACCCTACTATCAGTACAGACATGCTATCTCGTGTTCGCCATCGCAACTTGATGTATAACAATGATGTCTTAATTACAAAAAGGTTTGACAATGAGTTTGTTTATACTTTCCATTTATTTTCTTTATTTTTGTTTTAAAAATTTAATTGTTTCTTCTTTGGTAGTTGCACTAGTCTCTTCTAAACCTGGAAAATGACGTTAATTATCCTGCTTTTGATAAATTAGAATACACATAGCCACCGACAAAATGGAAGAAGAGTTAGATGAGTGTTGGAAGAGAAGGTCTACAAAAGCAGCTGCATTTAATGCTCCTGCTCTGCATTAATTTTTTTATAGAATTTAATCATATCATCTATTTGTCTAACCTGAAACTTTTATACGTGGAAGTACACCTCCAGTGCTGATTCTTTTGCTTTTGCTTTTCTCTTCATCACATGCAGGCAACTAAACAAATATATGAACTAAATCCTTGGGTATTATCGTTGTCTAGAATTTAGCAACTTCATGGTTTCCCTTAATGATTTGGATTTGCTGAAGCTGTTGCGTTATCATCTTTGAACTAATATAGTTTGTTGGAAATAATGTTTCATAAAATTAGAAAATTTCATGTTATCAAAATTTCACCTTTTTGGAACCTGACAGTATTTTTCTTGCAGTATTTGGCTTTCTTGGTGCAAATTGTTCTATTATACACTGTTCAGCTGGATGTATGGGTTTGTGGGGTCTTTCTCACATCTAGCTATGGTCAACTCCACATGGACCGAATCCCATATTGAAAAGCTTTGGGGAATTTCAAACCGCATTAAAAGAGTATATCCTCCTTGTGATACTTCAGGACTTCAGGTTTGTGATTTAGCTATGTCTTGTCTTCTAAAAACACTGTTAGTCTATAGCCATATTTCTTGTCTTGCTATGTGTCAAATTGGACAACTAACTTGGATTGCATTTTGCAATATGTTGGCCTAATGTTCCTTTCTCCTTTGTTGTCTCCTTGAGGAATGTTTTAACAATTTGTTAAGAGCTCCTTGCATTTTTCTCTCAAGCTTGAGTTCAATCTTAGCAATTATTAATTCTCTTGCTTATGGTAACATAAGCTCAAACACTTATTTCTAAGATAGTATGAGACATCACTCATTGTTTCTAAGCAATTTGGGCAGGTGCTTCCTTTGGAGAGACCAGTTGAAAATCCAGTAATAATATCTGTTGCACAATTTCGACCAGAGAAGGTGGGCATATACATGATAACCTTGTGAGTGGGAAGCAAAACTGATTTTGGTGGCTCATTGGGCCTTTATTGGTTATAGAAAGTTTACATATTTCCTTTTTTTTTTTTTAAGGCTCACGGTCTCCAACTTGAAGCTTTTTCAGCCGCCACTCAAAAACTAGATTGTAGCATGCCAAAACCTAAGCTCCATTTTGTTGGTAGCTGTAGAAATAACTCAGATGAGGAACGACTTCAAATGTTAAAAGAGAAAGCAATTGAACTAAATGTGGATAAGCAAGTGGAGTTTTACAAGAATCTAACATACAGGTTAGGACACATGGTTTTATTTCCTGATATTTGTTGTTGTTATTATTCTAAAATGAAAAAATTTCGCTTGAAATGGTAAAATACTGTTGCTGTGGAATGCATGTCTTTTACTGGTCAATGCATGATGCATCTGGTCGAACAATGTTTCTATTTTCTTTTATAGGTTGGAATTAACATTATACTTAATTGATGTTTTTTTGTCTTGTTTATCTAGCTCATTAGAAAGCAGAATTACTGAATGCATTGTTCCCGTCATCTCTAATTATCACTTTAGTGGTGGGAGAAGATATACCATGCTATTTAACGTTAAAATTTATGTCTGTTGGAACTGATACCTATCACAAGGTAAGTGGTGTTAGATACCTCGTCAATTTGTCAAATTGATTTCACTTGGATAACCTTTTGTCAAAATTTGTTTCAGTGGAAAGTTAGGGTTTTTTCAATCAAGTTTTTTTTTTTTAAAAAACAAGTTACAAAAATTGTTGCAGGATAGCTTAACCCTTGATAAATTAATTCAAATGCTTTTAAATCCTGTCTCAAAATGATCCTTAGAGAACGTTAATTCTTTTTTCTTTATTTTCACAGCCATAATATTCTGTATCAATCTCTACTTATTGTCATTCTGGCTGTCTTTTTTTTCTTTTTTCTTTTTTAATACAAGAGGCAAGAACAAGCTTGAAATTAAAGAAGGTCCAAAGGATTAAGCCCAAGGGCCCATATGACACTGTAAAAGAGAGATGACCACACCTGGGGGACAAGTGAAAATGTGAGGAGAGTCTGGCATTTGTAGACCCAGTTTTGCCATCCAATCTGTGCAAGTGAGAGCTTCCCTACGTGCATGAGCAATTTCTAGTTCCTAGTGTTCCATTAGAAGATTTCTAATTTGCTGGATATCAACCCTTGCTGGATGATGTGTAGTGTCCTCACTCATTACTAGGGATGTAGCTTCCATTGAGTCAGAGAAAAGTTGACTCTTATGATGTCCCTGAAGTTTGCTTATTTGGAGAATTGGAGTCCAAACTTGATTGCAGAAATTTCTGCATCTGTGGTATTTAAGTAGGCTAACCCATGAGTAAATCGTGAAATGTAGTTGTGAGTCTCTAAGTGTACCCCCACATGAGGCCGTGTTGTTCTTACAAACAGCTCCATCAACATCCACTATGATTGTGCCTGGTGATGGTGGATTCCATTTTGCGTCTTCTCTAACTGATATCTGGTAGATGAGGTGTTTACTCTTTCTGCTAGCTTTGTCTTCAAGGAGTCTGTGCATGCGCCCAGTTTTGATTTGCTGAGGATTAGGCTGCATCCCTTTGAACACGCTCTTGCTCATTTCAAATTTAGCTTTGTCCAGATAAGCCAACAAGTGTAAGCCAAGATTTTCGTCCATGGCCAATTCTTCAAATTTGCCTTGCTTGCTTCCTTTCTTGCATTCCATCCAACTGAAACCTGCAAATTAGGACAGTAAATAAAAGATTGAAACTTGTTAGGGTGAGTAAAGCCACTCCACTCCTCTTGAGTAATGCTACAGTCTCTTAGAACATGTAAAAGTGTTTCCTCTCTATTGCACTCAAAAGGACAAGTTTTTTGGTTTTTGGCTTTTAGATATTTAGTGGGATTTCTTTCTGGCTGTCTTTTTGTCCCTAGTGCTTTAAACTGCAAACTGTATCACCTGGTGCTGATGTACCTCGTAGTTGTGGCAGCTTCTGCGACTGCATCAGGTCATACATTTTCTGTCTGCGATGGTCCCATTACTTTGTTTTTTGTTTTTGCCTTTGAAAATCACCACAAGTCCACAACTTCAATTTGAGTTTATTCTGTGATTTATTGATTCTTTAGAAGAGCCCGCTGATTCGTCTTCAATTTAAAAGTACTGTTGACTTTGAATACTATCCTCTATTTCAATTTTATTTTTCCTCATATACCAAGCGTAAACCTCAGCATTTTCAGATTGACGATACTAGTTTCTTGAAGACGTGTTTAATATTTTAAGTTTCAGCATGTAGTTAGGGTGTTAAATAGATTATTAGGTTTTGCTATCAGTTAGTTTCTGGGGTATTGACACTTTACAGTTCTACAGAATTACTTGTCTTTCCAAGTCTGCATTATTCTTACAAGATAAATCTAGATATTTTTAAAACTTATTCCTGTTTAGAAAAAGATTTAAAAGCGTTGCTGAAATGTGTGGAAAATGATTGGAAAAACTCCTTCCCCACCCCCCCTAAAATCTAGTGAAGTATGTGGAGAAAAGTTAAAGAATAAAAAAAAAAAAAAGTTACATGAAGCTCTACAGTAGCTGTATAATTCACAACTTAAGAATAGTGCAACTTGTTTTTGTTCTTATAGATTTTATATTGCTTCAACTCTATCGATTATAATATTCTTATCTCCTGCCCTTCGAACTCAATCATAAGCTATTCTAACCTTTTCTTGATACCCTGTATACTCTCGAGTCTCATTTATCATCAAATCTCTTGATTGTGGAAATTTTTATCATTAATCATTTGACTCACTTCGGTCATAAAATCTCTTAAGTTATGCAAACATGCAGAGAGTTGGTTGGACGTTTAGCAAGCGCTGTTGCCGGCATCCATTCCATGACAGATGAGCATTTTGGCATAAGTGTTGTAGAGTATATGGCTGCTGGTGCCATCCCAATTGGTAGGTTGATTCATGATTCCGCATCTGCATAACAAAGCTCTATTTATTTATTTATTTTTATCTAATGCTTTTACACACATTTATTTAATTTACAATATGTTTTTGCCCCTTGTTTCAGCTCATAATTCTGCTGGCCCAAAAATGGACATTGTATTAGACGAAGATGGACAAAAGACAGGATTTCTGGCCTGCACTGTTGACGAATATGCTGATGCTATTTTGGCAGTGATAAGAATGTCAGATATGGAGAGGCTTAAAATGGCTGCTGCTGCTAGGATGCGAGCAAGGAGGTTCTCTGAGCAGAGATTCTACCAAGATTTCAAAGTTGCAGTGCGCCCTATTCTCCATCATACTTCTAAATGATGATCTAACAACTGATCAACACTATTCTAACTTAAATTGAACATTTTTCTGTTTTGTTGTTCTCTGCAAATTTTTGCTCTTCTGCTAACCCACTTTTCAGATGATGTTGCACTTTGATTTCTATTTCCATCCCTAGTTGAAGCTATTTTCTTGTTTTTATTCGAAATGGTAAACGATTCTCTTTGTAGTGTGTGTTGGTATTTGGATTGTAACACCAAGGAGTGATTATATTTATTCATTGCCATGAACGAACTTGTTCTACAATTTCTCAAGCTACTGGCAAAAATAAGTGCGAAATAATACTGGTTTTAGTTAAATATTTCTAGGATCATGAGCGGGGATGTTATTCAATTTTCAGTAAATGTCGACTTGTTTCCCTTGTATTTTATTATTCGGAGTTTGAACAGTAACATGATATTACTAGCGCTCATGATATAAGAAGCTCTAGGTGGGATTGAATTTGCAAGAGGTCTTCTCACATCAAAGTAGGGCAAGATAAGAATCTCACTGGGACACCCAAGCCCTTCAAATTTATAACTACTTAGGCAACTACTTTAAGTTTTATAATGCCATGAACATTAATATCCAGTGGACATTTTTGATTTCCATGTCGAGGGGTAGGTATAGATTTGATTCTTTGAATTGAGCTGGTTCAAAAGCTTACATAAGTATTTGTTGTTTGGCAAGATGATGCATTTAAAATCCTCGTGTTTGCCTTGGCTGAAGCCGCAATTCTCTTGGGGATTAGAAAAGAACATGGTTAGTGTTCTCTCTCTCTCTGTTTTTTTTTTTGATAAGATTAATTATTAAACTTTCATGATTAATTATTTTGGTAGTTTATAGATCTGGGGACTTACTAGGTTAGAGCTTGTCTCCAGGTTTAAAGAACGCTCATAAATTGTTTACTGATAAGGTTTTCACATTAACAACGAGATTTGATTCCATGTCCTTATAAGTTATAAATTAAATTTTTATTGATTGGATCAATTTTTTTAAAAGGAAGTAGAATGATGGTGATGGCTTTCCAAGTCATTTTAAATTCATTTTTTTAGCTCTCAATTTGGAGGGTGAATGACAAAATGACTTGATATAAATAATATTATAAAGTTACAGCACCTTTCTCACCCCCTTTCACTCTTTCTTTTCTCACTCTAGAGTTGAAAAAAATATATGATTATAACAAATTTAAATCTATTCATTTTATCATAATTCTTAAATAATAATTAAATAAAATTATTTATTTCTCTTATAGTATTTCTAACAATGAAAAGTTTCATTCATTCCATTTTATGATATAGTCTCAATCGTGCCCCTAGCCCATTTTGTATTGAGAAACCATATGTATAATTTAGTCCATTTTGTACTAAGAAACCATACGTATAATTGAGCATATTGTTTTAGATATTTTCTTGAAAAATTTAAAAATCCATATTGTTATGTTCATATAATTTTTGATCTGTAAAATATTTTATAATAATCTTGAAAATGTATTTTAGTCTTGATTTTTGAGATTCATTATTTTTATTAAAAAAATTTAGTCTTTTATATATTTTTATGAAAAGTATAATTTTTGATAATAACAAATTAATTGTACAATAGATATTGAAATTGACTTTAAAATAAATCTAACAATTTGGGTATTCAAACCGACTTGGAATAAGGTTGAAAGTCCAAATTATTAAGATTGACCTTGATAATATAAAATGTGTTGCATGCTTGGAATTACGGTCTCCAATTTGATCCCTGTGTATGTGACCTTACACAAGAATATCTTCAATTGGGAAGGGGTTTTAAAGCTGCAATATAAAAACGAAGGATTGATTTGCAGCCTAATTTTTTTCTTTCAAAAAACCAAAAAAGAAGTCTCAACTTTGTGTTTTTTTTCCGCATGTAAGCAATGTTTGATGTTCCAATCAACTTCCAAATTTAAGACTTAGCCGTACCAGACACCACAAAAACATCAACAGAACCAAATTTAGGCTTTTCCAAATTAATTGCATTTCACGAGTTGATTCCAGCAGATTTATTCATTAGGCAAAATGGAAGAAGAGAACACAAACAAGAAACAAATCAAAAATTAAAACCCAATCATCATCATGTAACCTCACCCTAATTAATATTAATTCATGCATGAAAGCACTTACAAAAACTCATATAATCATGAATAATACCGTCTCCAGTTTCAGATTTCATATAATCTAGCTAGAGAATGGAGCAAAAACTAGTAGGATAAGGATCAAAACTACTTGATAAGATGAGGTTGCGTATGTTGGACATTGAAGACATGGACAATAATTAAGTGGCACCTTATTATTATTGTTATTGTTATTATTATGATCATGGCTATGATCTTCTTTCTTTTCTCTTTTCACTTCATTATTACAGGATAGGCTTTTAACAGTGAGTAAAAAACACTTTTAACAATAGTTCTGTAACTGCTGTTGTTTCAGAAGATGTTAAAAATATGTGATGGAGGGGGCTAAGACAAGAGAGAGGGGGGGACGGAGGGGGAGATAGATGGGGGAGGGCAGTAGAGATGGGGGCTAGGGCCGATGAGGGAGAGGAGGGAGGATGAAGAAGATGAGGGGGTGGAGAGGAGGAAAGGAGGAAGAAGATGAGGGGGGCAATTTTTTTTTTATTAATTTTCACTTTCGACAGTGGGTGCCACTCACTCGTTGTTGAAAGTTCAATAACAGATGAGTGGCACTATTGTTCAAAATTAAATTTTTAAAATTTTAATTTATTCACTTTCAACAGCGGGTGAGTGACACCCGCTGTTGAAAGTGAAAATTTTAATTTTTTTATTTATTATCTTTCAACAGCAGGTGACGTATTATTTATTATCTTTCAATGTCACCCGTTGTTGAAAGCTAATAATTTTATTTTATTTTAATTTTTTAAAATTTTTTGACATTGGGTTAAATTACACTAGGTATTAAAAGTTTTTTTTACAGCGGTTAAATTTTTAACTGATGTTGAAAATCTTATATTAGGATTAAATATTATAAAAATGTCATTGCTTTTACTTTCAACAGCAGGTGCCTTCTAACCAATGTTAACAGGTGCCTTCTAACCAATGTTAAAAGTCTCCTGTAAAAGATAAATTCTGCACTAGTGCTTGTTGCACATTCAATATGCTTGCATGACGAAACTTCTTCCTCATAAGCCTCACCAAGCAAATCAAGTTGACCCCGCCATCTTTGATCACTACCACTTGGTCTCTATCTTTGCCTTCTATTGACACCGAATTCACACTTGCACACACACACTCTATCACACATTCAAGCTTGATCACCACAATATTATATTGTGGATGTGTGTGCGTGAGTGGACTAAACTAAGCTCTGATAAGATGGCTTGCATGTATGTTCGTTACCTTTTACTGTGGCTGCAATTGTGAGGGCCTTGCTTCTGCATTTATTGCAATCCAATGTTACTTTGATCACTATTTCACTACTACATAAAAAGGTATAGAAAATGATTATTTTTAATAATATTAAACAGTTATGAACCATTGAATAAATAAGTACTGAATATTCTCGATGCATATATTTAATGGTTTTTAACCATTGAATATTCTCAAAATATTCAACGGGTTTTTGAAAAAACCGTTAAATATACATAAATATTAAATGGTTATTTAAATATAACTGCTGAATATTTTTCATATATTAAACAGTTATAACTAAAAAATCGTTTAGTATGTAAGAATATTCAACAGTTCCATTTTAAACCATTGAATATTATTGTGCTATACATTTGGTAACAATATTAAATGGTTTTTTGAAGTAATCGTTTAATATTGTGAGCAATTTTTTTTCCTACTCTTATTTAGCAGCCCTCCTACATTGAACATTTACAAAATACAATTCTAGAACCCAGAACAGAATTTCAACAACTAGCAATAATTATATACATGAAATTTACATTATGAATTCCTATACAAATTATATAAAATTTGATGTTGCTTATAACTTATACCAATTAATGGCCAAAATAAAGCTTCAAATCCTTAAAAGCTAGCAAAGTACACCTATATTTATGTCAACTTTAAATATATACTTATATGGTATATTTATTTACTATTACTAGTTGTTATAGCTAAATTATGCTTGAAAAATACTACATGTCAGCTCTTCAAGGACTTCTTCCATTTAAGCCTTAGTATATATGTCATTGTAAATGTCCTCATAGTATTGATCAATGCAAAAAAAAAAAAAAGTCATGTTAATTAATAAAAATAATATAATGATGATAATGTTAATAATATACATACATTGTCTGGAAGAGTTTTGGTAGGAGCATGTTGAATTATATCCTTCATAAACTTCATGACAGCATACCCACAATCCCTAACTTTGTCATGATGTTCTGGGCACTACAATTATGCAAAATATAAAAAAAATTAGTTAGTGACATGACATGACTTATAATTATGTTACTAACATAACTAGTGATATATAATTAAATACATATATCGTGATAATTGTCCATGATGTCACCGTATTAAAGCGACTACTACCCCTTATTAGTTGTTGGAATTGTTGATCAACCTCAGTATGGTACATGACAATGGCTCTAATATGCAATATAAAAGTTGATATAATAAATATTCACACAAAAAGAACTAGTTACATACATATAAGTGTAAAACTTAGTGAACTTATTTATTAATCATCTCTACTATATGTGGCTTATTATTGGGATCGCCACCCTTAATAGGGTCAAAGTACCATACTTTCCTTATAATTGGATTGATCACAAGTAACATCCAGTGCCCCCTATGAAAATGATTACAATTAGAAAATATCACAATTTAATTTTGAAAAAAAAATAAAGTATTATAAAGTGACTTACCCTTCACAATAAGGTGTTATGAATATTTTGTTCTTATCGGCGCCACATAACTCGAAGTACTTAGAAAGCCTTTAAGCTATTTCTAATCCTTGTTTAGGAGTCATTGTCTTGGCTATGAGGAGAGACTAGGTGGGGACTGATGAGTATCACCCTCTATGCTACATCACCTCTCCCAGCAAGCATGGTGGTATACAGGTTCCTTAAATGTCAGAATAAGTAGATTAATGAATGATTAAAGCGTGTGTGTGTGCGTGCGCACACACACATATAAAAGTAAACATTTAATTTAAGGTTTTGGAAACATACTTCATATATAAGTTACATAAGGTAGTGGTAGCCTATGCATGATTGAATAAGTCCATTAACACCTTATTGTTGACTTGATCAACAGACTCTGGATCTGCATA